CCCGACCCCCCTAACCCTCCGACAGCTGGTGAGAAACAAAGCTCTAAAACAACAAGAATCCTGGGACATCAGCCTGAGACCACTGCCCGACAAGACATGCCATCCGACCGCCGAGGGACGACCATTCGGTCGGACGGAGACGGGAAGCAACATGATCCTGGCTAATCAACCCCCAGGGGTCAGTGTTTCCTCTTGAACAGGTGCACAGACCCTCCAGTCCAGCTGTTAAAGATGATGTGGCCAAACATGAGGCCTCTCTTAGGGACTGTCACTAACTTCACATTTCTGATGGATGGATGAGTAACTTTTTTTAAAAACCTGTGAATGAGGTTTTTTACTGTTTTCTTCATATTCAAATCTTTTTTTTTTTGTCATCTGGACTAATTTATGGTTGAAATTTAAGTCTTTTTCATACATATATAAATACATGTATAAACAGTACCACGTAGGTCTGTGGTTCTGTAGGTCTGTGGTTCTGTGGGTCTGTGGTTCTGTGGGTCTGTGCTACAGGATGTAGGTCTGTGGTTCGTTCTGTAGGTCTGTAGGTCTGTGGTTCTGTAGGTCTGTGGTTCTGTGGGTCTGTGGTTCTGTGGGTCTGTGCTACAGGATGGAAAACTCATGTTGCGTGCCATTTTGACTAGAAGCCCCCTACAGGGTCAGGGAGGAACTGACAAAACTAAACTATTGTTATTATTTTTACTGCGTGTGACTGAGGAGAAGACTGGAAGTTCTCGGCTGGTTTTGATTGGTCCGTATGTGTTTCTTTCCTCACTTCATTTGTAGTATCACCATAATTGGCCAATAAAATGTTTGATGTTGTCACGATGATGGAAGAGAAACTACGTCCTGGACCGATTCTGGTGCCAAGACATAGGACATTAAAGCTAAAGGTGTCTCGGGTTTATTTATATTTGACCAGTGTAGACTACAGTCAGACCAGTGTAGACTACAGGACCAGTGTAGACTACACAGACCAGTGTAGACTACAGTCAGACCAGTGTAGACTACAGTCAGACCAGTGTAGACTACAGTCAGAGTAGAAGACCATGACTTTACGCTGAGCTTTTTGTCTACTGTGTCATATAGTTTATAAACAACTGTCACAGAACTCACACACACTCCATCACTGGTGTCCCCCGGTGTCCCCCGGTGTCCCCTGGTGTCCCCTGGTGTCCACGTTCTCCTACAGAACGCGTTCCGTGCGTGAACTTAAAAACGTCTAAGAGTGAGTTTGGTTTAAGACGCTCGTCACCATCACGGCGGCGTCAGGGTTCAAATCCTGGCCGTGTGTGTGTTCTCCTTCAGGGAACGACAGCCACTGTACGGAGGACGGATTTTGGTCTTGGAAAACGCAACAGAGGAAGAGTCAACGTCAAACAAAGAAAATAAAAGAATGTCAAAAGAAACAGAAGCTTTTCCTAGTTTAAAAAGCATCCGTTGAGTCTTTGGTTTTGGGCCAGAACAAGTGCCGCTGCCCTCTGTTTGCT